TCTCTCTCTTATTTATTTTTTGGCGGGGGGGGGGGGGAGGGAGGAGGCAAGAGCCTTCGCCCCCGTTTCCCTCTTTTCTTATTCTTTTTCCTCTTCTTTCTTTCCTTTTAGATTTTCTTTCCCTCTCCCTTCTTTCTCTCTCTCTCTCTCTCTCTTTGTCCTCTTCTTTCTTTCCTTTTATATTTTCTTTCCCTCTCCCTTCCCTCTCTCTCTTATTTATTATTTGGCGAGGGGAGGCAAGAGCCCTTCGACCTCCCCCGTTTCCCTCTTTTATTCTTCTTCCTCTTCTTTCTTTCCTTTTATCTTCTCTTTCCCTTTCCCTTCTCTCTCTTTCTTAATTATTTTGTTGGCGGGGGGGGGGGGGGGGGAGGTAAAAGCCCTTTGCCCCGTTTCCTTCTTTTCTTCTTCCTCTTCTTTCTTTCTTTTTATATTTTCTTTCCCTTTCCCTTTCCCTTCTCTCTCTCTCTTATTTATTTTTTGGCGGGGGGGGGGGGGGGCGGAGGGTGAGGAGGAGGCAAGAGCCCTTCGCCCCCCCCCCCGTTTCCCTCTTTTCTTCTTATTCTTTTTTTTTCTTTTTATATTTTCTTTCCCTTTCCCTTTCCCTTCTCTCTCTCTCTTATTTATTTTTTGGCGGGGGGGGGGGGGGCGGGGGGGTGAGGAGGAGGCAAGAGCCTTTCGCCCCCCCCGTTTCCCTCTTTTCTTCTTATTCTTCTTTCTTTCTTTTTATCTTCCCTTTCCCTTTCCCTTTTTCCTTCTCTCTGCCTCCCCCATCAACATAGTAATAACGAAAGAGACCACTCTGTAATCAAGACCATTCCATTTTATTTAATACATTTTCGATATACTTAAATTGGCAACTATTACCTTCTGTCCCAGATCCTCATTTTAAACGACTGATGCGAAAGACTAGTCGACGCAACCTTTCGAGAAAAGCCCCCCCCCCCCGCTTTTATCGAAAGGGTGTGTTGAAACGGTACTCCGCTCTCAACGCATCCTTTCGAGAAAAGCCCCCCCCCCTCTTTTATCGAATGGGTGCGTTGAGCACACCACACCGCGCCGCACCGCACCGCACCCTTTCGATGGAAGCCCTAATTAAGATCCGTGTAATGAAGGCATTGTTTTTCCAAGTAGGAACTCTATGGCTGCGAGACATGGGCATTAGAAAAGGCAGACAGGGGAGCCATAATCTGCCTTTGAAATGTGGTGTTGGAGGAAGCTATTACTTGGGATATCATGAAGAGATTACATCACCAATGGACACAATTAATGTCCATCATCGGAGATCAACCGCCACTTGCTACCAGGATTGACAAGTACAAGCTACAATAGTTTGTTCACGTTAGCAGAAGATCAAGAGACAACCTTGACAAATTATCATTCAAGGTATATTTGAAGGAACATGTAACGAAGGAAGACTTAAAGGGAGGCTTTACTACTGCAGCTAGAAGGGATTAGACCACCCAGAGAGCCATCGAAGTCACTGTGACAGGTGGCTATCTCATTAACTCAGCTCTCATTTAACATAAGAAAAAGAGGATCATGGGGGACCAACAGGCACCGATTTGGGAAGTTTTCTATATAGAGGGAGCAAGTAGCTACAAGTAGGACAGTGTGCCTTTAAGCTCAGATGGAATGACGACCCTAGGGAAATCACTAGCCACCCTCTAAATACTAAATACTCTACCGGATTGCAGGAGACAGATGCCGATCGAAAGGTCTCATCAAACGGGTCACAAGGGTGAGCCATGATCTATATGACAACGACGACGACGAACAGTGAGAGATAGTTTCTTGGAGGGCAGCAGTGACGCGGGACTCAGTTGGAAGACTCTTGATCCGTTATGACCTCTAGATACTCTTGGATCTGTCAAACACCAAGCAAACATCATCAAAATTTCATCCACAGTAGAGCACAACCATCAATGGCTGTACAAGGTTGTTCCAGTGTCTCATGCCTGGCTGACATCTCAACTTTTGTCAAATTCTATAAGTCCGCCTTTGACATGGGAGTGCTCATTTCCAGAATCATCAAAGAGTGCTGTTGGGACTGGTGAAAGCTCTTATGATAAAATGTCCTTGACATTGACCTCTCTATAACTTGCCTGCAGTCCTATTACTCTGGAGTAGATCAACTTTTCATAGACTTTCGTACCCCAACATTAACTTCTCCATGGCTGCCATGGTTTGAACTTTCTTTGAAATTGTGTCATAGAATCCACCAGGTAATTTCTTTTGAAACTCATGCATCTGTCTAGTACAGATGTCAACTGCTTATCCACATTCACTGACGTTGGAGCAATGCTGGTCTAAATAAAGCCTATCAATGGAATAATAATGTGTGCCGTAAAACCACTTCTCACCGATTTGATGAAAATGAATTCTTTCATAGCCATTTTTGTTTCTTGACATAATAGGTGTAGGGAATTGGAGACCGTAGGGAATTGGAGACCACCAAGCCTGAACCAATCACTGTCGGTCCGTGTTGGCTCCAATATTGCTATAGCGCCATTGTGTGGCCTTTAGCAAAACTACTGCATATATCCAATTCATTTCGAAGACTACACTGCGTTCTCTCTCCGAGAAAATTGGCAAAATTGACCAAGATAAACAATTTTGATCGTAAAATGTTGCTCTGGTATAAAAACACAATTTTCACTGAATCAGTGTATGCAGATATTTAGGGGTGGCTCTTAAAAATTAGTTTTGAAAGGAAGTTTATGAGGTGTGCCAACCATCACAGAAAATTATGGCCATCGTGTGTTGTGAATGGGTGCTGCAATGCACATTATGAATGGTGTCTGATCAGAAATGTGTGTAGGCAATGGGGGACACCAGGTCCAAGATGGGGGCCTACTTTCCCCCAGTTGTCCATTTCATGTTGAAAGGCACTATCATGAAACATGTTTGGTTGTTCGTGTCACCATTCTAATTTGAATGCATTTCATTTTAAGAAGTTGTTTCTATGCTGTGAGTTTGAGTAATGTAAAAGTCACATTGCCAGAACATTATTCTGAAAGTATTTAAACATAATTTAAAGCACCTTTATTACTGTAAACAAAAAACTACAGAAATATTTTGGGCCACATTGTTTTAAAATCGTTTCAAAATTACAGTAAGTTCATTGGCTGCATGTATCTCTTTCAAAAAGTGTTTGAAGTAACTATAACAATCCCATTTTCATTCAAATTGTATTCAAAATGTCTTGATTTGTAACTGTCCCTTATTACCTCCATATATAGGTAATGAGAGACCTTTGGTGATGACGTCATTAATCATTAATTGTTATCTTATTAATCAGTTACATCATGACCACAATTTTGTTACCAAATAAAGAGAAAAAATAGTACTGAAGAGAATACAAAACTGTCTGTATGTGTAACATTGTTCAAGTTTATGTAAATTATGCAAATGTGCGTAAGGGTCTTCAATTCCCCATACCTACCCTATCTATAAAATTTGGACCAAACAAGATGAAAGATGAATGCAGCACAACTGCAATTGTTGCCCCCCAAAAAAGCATTTAATATGATTTCGACGTGACATAGATTTAAGAAATTGGCATTTGGCTGGCACACATATTTTATTCAAATTAATGTTTATAGAGGGCGCTATTTCAAAATATGCAAATAAGCTGGTCATCAATGGCCATGCAACATCACAAAACATTTTTTGAGTGATGGTCCTAGAGGGATACAGACATTTGGCTGCCCAAAATTATAGAAAAAATCCTTATTATATATTTATTATTCATTTTTAAAGGAAATTCATGTACTTTGGCGGCCATTTTGTATGACGTCATATATCTTAAATTGCTCAAGGCTGACAGAGTGTCAGCAATTGGATTCTTGAAATAGAAGCTTTAGGCAATCAAAATCCATTGGAAAAAAAAAACTATAGACCCTAAAACAAGGTTAGGCCAATAATCTGGATTTGGCTGCCGGACTAGTATATTTGTATTTTTAAAAGATGTCAGATTTGAGGATTTATGACGATTTTCCGAGAAACCATTCAACAGGCCATAACATTCCACAAAGACTGAATTTTAGAGTTACAACAAATTTGATGACCCTAGTATAGTTGTGGCTACCTTGAGTGTAAACAACAAATCGATTCAATGAGTGAAACACATGAGGGTATTCCATTTTTTGTAGGGGAGTTTTATAAATTGAGGTGCATTTTCACCACGCAAAATAACACTGCAAGTCAATGGACGATCAGCGGGCCATGTCACACATGGCTGAAAAGACAATATTCTATTAAATAATTTAACATATTTCCCACATGCCTATAACAATGAAACTACGCAGAATTGTAGTTAAAGGTATGCTTGGAATATATGTGAAATAAAAATTAAAAAATATTGTTTAGTTTTTTAAAAATAAATTTACAAAAAATGCTATTTCTATCAACTGACTACTGTTGTGTGTGTTTGTGTGTGTGCGTGGGGCAGACTGTGTGCACAGGCAGTGTGATCACCCTAAGAAACAATCGTATTTCAATATATTAATTACACAATTTCTCTTCTCTTTTTTTTCCCAGATGATTTCGGGATATCCGTTCCACCTTTAGTAGACTACTTAAAGACCATTTTAAGGGAATATAGTGACGGTCAGATCATAAAGGTAAACCATTCACTACTTTCGTAGTTATAATGGGATTCATCGAAGGATCATTAAAATACTCAAAATTTCTGGAAAATAAGCATAGTTCCTCTTATGAAATTTGGAGCATTGTCGCCCCGGCTGCACTGCCGTTCATTGTTGTGGTAGAAATAGGGTACATAACCCTAAAAACTAGATATATGGCATTTGTGATGACCACAAAAGGGCACAATTTGTAACCGGCAGGGGAAATACAGGTAAAAGGAGGCACTTATCAAAGAGCAACTATTTGAAATAGTAAAAATAACAAATCAAGGTACGAACCAGAGGTCAAAAGGGGCATTTAGAAGAAGGGGGAATGGGCATTTATATGAAAGTAAAATGGGGCACTTATTATAAATGAAAGAGGCCCGTGTCAAAGTAAACAGGGCACTTTCATACTCAGAAAGGGGCACTTATTAAAGGGGGAAAGATGCACTTATTGCAAGGGGAATATAACAGATGAAGGGATACGTATTGCAAAAAGAAACTGGGCACGTTTCAAAGTGAAAAAGGGCACTTATCAGAGGTAAAAAGAGGCACATCTCGCACCTGCTAAGGGGCACTCATCATAGATGAAAAAGGGCACTTATAAGAAAGGGAAAGGGGGCATTTATTAGGACCGGAATAGGGTACCTGTCAGAATCGATACGGGGCATTTATCAGAGGTAAAAAGGGACACTAATGACGAGAGGGAAGGGGCACTTAGTAGAAAGAAAAATGGCATTTGTCTAAAGTTAAAATTTGCACTTTGGGAGGTACTTGAGAAAGTGTTAGGGCACTGTACCCCCTTGTCCATCCCACGCCTCCAAGAGCACCACCTCGCATATGGAGAATAAATAGTAGGGAGCTTCTACTTTTTATTAATAATTTTCAAGATATAAACCTCGTTCAGTGTATTGACTAATATGCATTGACCACGTACTAAATACAGCTGTCTTGGCTTTATATAGACTTTGAACTATTACAAAAAAATCATTAAAAAAAAGGTACGAGTCAGTTATGTTCTTAACTGACTACACATAGTCCGATCCCCGAGAGGGAGGTGGTGGGAATGGTGGTTTACCATTAATTTGAGGTTTCGAAACGTGAAGAGAACAAGTTCAGTGTACATGCATGGTCTTTTTTTAAAGAGCACATGTCCTAATAAATTGACGCTGCTTTGCCTTTGCAGGAGCTTGTTCAGAACGCTGAAGATGCCGGCGCAGATACTGTCAAATTCCTGTATGATGTAAGGCAGTTTGGGACCGAGACGCTGTACCTAGATTCCCTAGCACCTTACCAAGGTCCATCCCTCTACTCCTTCAACAACGCCAAGTTCAAGAAAGCCGACTGGGATGGGATTCAGACACCTGCCCGCAGCAACAAGAAGACGGATCGCTTGAAGGTTGGACGTTTCGGCATTGGATTCAACTCCGTGTACCACATAACAGGTGAGAACGATAAGTACAAATAGATACATTATACGAAAAAATGAAAGCACACAACATTATAGTTGTGTGCTTCCCGACATGTTCCTATAATGACCTAGTTAATATTCTCACAATATTTCACTGTGGTGATACCACCCCACCCCCTGCCTGTGCTGAAATAAAGACCCTTAAAAGTCGTTTCGTTATAGATCACAGTAGTTAGCCCCTCCTGAGGCAAAGGTCTTGATACTCTGGGGTTGTTTTCCAGCGCCTATTGGCTATTAAAATGTGCTTTTATGGAAAGTGGTTTATCTGTGTAAGATGAAGTAATTACTTGCTATTCTAAGATGAAACTAAATGAGTTTGAAAAGTCAGAGCATAATCACCATAGTAATAGTTGATAATAGTAGTTACTGTCGAGTTTGGTCTCTTCAGACAAAGCTGTAAAAAAAAAAACGATTTAAAAGAAACAAGCGTCATGTTAAGTTATTCCATACGGAAACATTAATCTCATCAATCATTTGATTGTGTCATATACTTTTTTGCATTGTGCGCATTATTGTTTTATTATTCTTTATACTTTTCGATTACTTTTCAGATTTACCGAGCATCATGAGCGACCAAAAGCTGGCATTCATTGATCCATTAGAGGAACATTTTTTTGACAAGCGTGGTCGAGTCAAAACTGGATGGCAATTTGGTCTCAGATCCGACAGCGACATATTCTCGAAGAACGAAGACCAGTTTCAACCCTACCACAACATATTTCCCGGAGTGACAGGAGGGATTTCTGCAGGATATTTCGACGGCACGTTGTTCAGATTTCCTCTGCGGCATGCCGCAAATAGTTTAAGTGACAAAATTTACAGCGATGAAGGCACATTAAGCGAGCTCCTCCTGGCTTTTCGAGCTGATGCTGATGTTGCTATGCTGTTTTTGCGCTCTTTGAATAACATCGAGGTGCTGGAGAGGCCATCCGATCTGCAAGAGCCATCACTAGTTGTACGAGTTCGAAGGGAACACGATCCAGAAACACATCCACCGGGAAAGGAATTTTCTTCACGTCTAGAAACTTACTGCTCTGATGTCAGTGGGCGCAGAGGGCCAATCAAGTTGATTGATTGTGTGACATTCACTACCGAAACACCGGAGGCATCCAAGGCACAACACTGGGTTGTTAGTCATCATATCGCAGGGGATAGCATGTCTCGAGAGCTTTCCGATTTGGCCGAGAAGCAAAGTTATCTCCCGTGGGCAGCTGTTGCTATTCCCGTAAGTTCTTCAGAGCCAAGAAGTGTAACAGGTGAAGCAGAGAATAACAACATTGGTAGAGTGTTCTGCTTTCTTCCCCTGCCACCTGGTGAGGAGAGTCGGACGGGTTTACCAGTTCATGTGCATGGATTCTTTGCTGTCAATAGCGATCGCCGCGGGATCAAGTGGCCCGGACCTGACCAAACGGACACTCCAGCACAATGGAACCAACTTCTTGTGAGAGAACTTATTCCCATTGTATATGTCGACGCGATCAAATACGCCATTAGTAGTCACACCTCCCAGGACAAAGTGACCGCCGATTGCATCTATCGATCGTGGCCAGATCATGAAGAGGTTCGTGGAAACTGGGACATTCTCTTGGAACCATTCTACTATGCTCTCTTCCAGGAAACTATCATACATAGCGACAACAATGGGTGGATGAACATCGCCGACGTCCACTTCAACGAATTGAATGTGGATGAAGATATGGAAAAGGCCATCCTCAAGTGTTTCAACATCAAAGGCATTGCATACACAAGGGTTCCCAATGTGTGCAGACAGGCCATCAAGAAGTTCTATAAAGATCAGATATCCACTGTTTCTGCTTCCAGCCTTTGCCGTTGCCTTCGTGAAGATCCTGCGATTTTGACCAAGCTCAATGCTGATGAGAAGCTTCTGATCCTTGAGTTCATCTTGCGAGAGGACGCCAGACAGGATCTGGAAGGATTATGTCTTCTTCCTCTCGATGACGGAAGCGTCCACTTCTTCTCGAGTTCTGATGAAAAGAAAGTGTACATACCAACCACCAAGTTCCACCGACAGCTTGTACCAGGAGGAAATCATCGATTCATCAGAACGGTACCAGAGGACAAGCCGCTTCATCAACTCCTGTCCAATATGGGTGTGTTTTGGTTTTCATTATTTTATCCTCTAACCGAATTACCTTGGGTAAAGTTGAGAAATTCAGCAACATAGATTATGATTGAAAGTGGCCTCATTTGAGATAAACTTAGAGATTGTTAATTACAGCTGGAATTATTAAACTAATTTCGTCACAATTTTATGTGGAAATTTTTCCTTCGAATAGAAAGTATACAGCTAGGTATCTGAAAATCAGGTTTTAATCCTTACAATGGAATGAGTTAGTCCACTGATATATGGGGGGGGGGGGGGGAGGCGAAGTGTCAACCACTTTCCTGTAGAAACTGCCGCAGGCACATTTCTTTGATTTGTTTTTGTTCAATTTACTAGATTGTATCACAAAAGTACATTCATTGGTGCAAACTGGATAGATTAACTTTTAAAAATGGGCAAAATATTTGAGCGGATTGTGCATAGCCTGAATTCTTTAGTCGGGCATCGTCGAAACTTAATTCTTATATTTTCCTACTATTTAAAAGTGATGCCAAATACGACCTCATGGGATCGTTTTCATAACCTTTATTGACACTTTATCAAATAACTTCAACAATAGAGGCATAGCAAATACAGAAACGATTAACTTTTGTGTAAATAAATTAACAATTGTAATTATTCTTTATTTCATGTGCAGATGGGCGTTATCAGCTAAAAGCATTAACCCTTGATGCAGTAGCTGAGCTCTTGAAGACCAGTATGAAAACTCGGATAGACGATCAAGGGACCTGGGTACAAGACACAGACGGGCCTTCTCTAAATACATGGCTTGAAAAGGTCTGGTCAATGCTGTACAGAGAGAGTTCAAGTAAGTTACTTCTCTTTGAAGGTATCCATCTTGTACCGTTGTTTGAGGCCGATGGTGAGGGAAGAAGATTACTACCACTGTGCCCAAAGTCGGGAATTATCCAGAGAAGTCACCAAAGTCTCACATTGACAAATGATCTGGCAAACATTCTACAACAGATTGGAGTGACAGTCACAAACTGTCCTGATTATGTTCTCCGCCATCCAGCTATCATGCGTGACGAATATATCAAGATGCCAACATCAGAAGGGATAGTTAAATGCCTTCTGCTTTCAGATGTTGAACTACTGGTCCAAATATTCCATTCCTTCTCCCCCATTGATAGAGATGTTCTCGTAGAATATCTTGCACAGGCAAAACTCTCCCATGATGGTAAGAAACTTCTAAGTTGCCTACCACTATTTGAAAGAGTCGATGGAACCGGAAATTCAAACAAACCTTTGGTCAGTATTGAACAATGCGAAGGGTACATCGAATGTTGCCAAGACGATATTCCTGCTCCATTGAAGCTCAAGGGGCTCTTGATCAATGGAAGAATAAAATCTAAATGTCTGCTACAGAAGTTAGAAGTCTGTCTATTATCAAAATATCAGGTGATAATGAATGTCTTGGAAGAAGTTCATGAAAGGCAGTTGTACTCCAAGCAAGAAAAACAGCTCGTCTTGCAGTGGATAATGGAGCACTGGGAAGATATCAAAGTCAACTGCAAGTCCAGCGTAGACATTCTGCGTCATATGAAATTCATCCCCAACAAGGCTAATTCTTTATTGTCTCCCTGCGAACTCCTTGATCCAAGGGATCCATTGCTTGACGAACTGTTTGCCTCTCAAGGAGTATTTCCAGGCGCACCATTTGATTCACCGCAGGTTATAGAAGCTTTCCAACAGCTTGGCATGCGTGGACCACGTGAAGTTACTTCATCCGAGTTGATTACATGTGTTGAGATGGTTGCTGAATCTCAAAGCCCAGAAAAGGCTCGAACGCTACTAGAGCTCCTCACAAGTAACCAAAGCCTTCTCGAAAAATCTGTCATTGATCATATGAAACAGAAGCAATGCATTCCTTGCAGACAGTCTCCTCCAGAGTATTACCCCTTAGCTATTGAGTGGTATGGTAAACGTTCTACGAGACTGTTAACTCCCCACGAAATTCTGAGGGAAAAGAAGCTAGCTGTACTGACATGTGGAGCCTCAAAATGCTTTACTTCCCAGGAGGACGAGAGTCGTTTCTCTACAGTCTACACAAAGATTGGAATGAATATCCCATCTCCAATAATTTCGGATGTCATGACACAGTTCGAAGACTGTGTCAGGTATGCAGAAGACAGAACTGGGGAAGATGTTACTGATATAGTACCAATGCTTAAGGAGATCTATTCATGTCTAATGGAAGCGTGGCGCCAGGACAAGAACACCAAGAACCTCATCCTCAATCGAGCTAAAGTTTGTATCTGGAATGGAAGTGGCTTTTCAGAACCAAGCAAAATGTGTGCGGTAAAACTTCCATTTCATCTAGCTCCTTACATGGCATCTATTCCGCAATCTACTATTGCATTTGCAGACTTGTTTGAAGCGCTCGGAGTTGAAAAAAACATGGCGGCAAATTCCAATGCTCTGGTTGACATACTGCATGAGATCAAGAAGAGATGTGACGATTCAAAAACTGATGTAGCCTTCCAACAAGGACAGCGCCAACTTGTACTGCAGATCCTGCACCATCTACACGCCGGAGAGCTCCCAGAAGAAGCTCGGGCACGCTTACTCGTTCCATCGCAAAAAGGAGAATGTCATCTTATTCCAGTTGATGAGAGCGCATACGTGGACAGAGAGTGGTTGAGACAAAGCACTGACAATGAGGAGATGGATGACGGAGAAGATTTTACTTTGATTCATTTAGATATCTCAATGGACCTTGCAATATTCCTCCAAGTACGACCTGTCAGTCGACTTCTTCTAGATACAGAAGAATCGCAGGGTTTTACACCAGCTGGGCAGCATGAACCCTTAACTATGCGCTTGTGGAATATTCTCAAGAACAACTATGTGGACACCGCCATCATTAGTGAAATGATACAGAATGCGGAAGATGCAGGAGCTCAGGAAGTTCGCTTTCTCATTGATATGAGAAAAAACGAAAATGCAAATCTGAAATTATTCGATCCTGAAATGAGGTCTTGTCAGGGACCAGCCCTTTGGGTATACAACGATGCCGTATTCACAGACCAAGACTTTGAAAACATTCTCCGTCTTGGAGGGCGTACCAAAGAAAAGGACGCTGAAAAGATTGGGAAGTTTGGGACCGGTTTCAACTCGGTGTACCTCCTAACTGATGTTCCAAGTTTGGTTAGTAGGAACTACATGCAGTGTTTCGACCCTCATACCACACACCTTGGAAACGTTCTCCGGGACAAGAGTCAACCTGGTGTACGTCTCAGATTGAATAGCACCAAAGCACTCCGGAGATTCCCAGATCAGTTCAAGCCATTCAAGGGAGTGTTTGGGCTCGATTTCAGTAGAGGAAATGAGCCATTCAACTACAACGGAACACTCTTTAGACTGCCCCTCCGTTCTAAAGAAGCTGCACAGAAAAGCCAAATATGCAAGGAGAGCTACGATGGGGAGAAACTGATCAACCTGATGCAGAAAATGTGGGAATCATCACAAAACCTCCTGGTGTTCACCAAACAGGTGAAGAAGGTTTCCCTATTCTACCTTTCTGAGAATTCTAGCGATCCTACCAGGGCTGAGGAGTTACTCACCATACAGAAGACCATGCATTATCCTAGGGTGAAGGATGACGGCACCGTCGTGTCAACTGAATCATTCCGCTGCCAACTGACCTCAAGGGGAGCAGAATTATTGCCACACATCAATGAAATAGGCAATCAGGAGCATACGAGTTCTTTCAACACCTTTAAAGTTGTATGCAAGACTTCGAAACAAGCATCAGTTGTTGCACAGTCTCAGGAAGGAAAGTCACATGGGCTATCTCCAGAGGCTGCCGTAGCTATCCCATTGAATGTAAGAGATTTGCAGAAAATCGAGGGGGAGATCTACTGCGGTCTACCTTTGTCAGTTCCAAGCCTGCTTCCATTTCACATTGATGGTAGGTTCGCCATTAACGAAGATCGAAGAAGTCTACAATCACCGACAACACATGGGGTGACTGTCTTTGAAAGATGGAATCATATATTGCTCTCTGACGTGATTTGCCGAGCATATGTCTCTCTTCTATCAGACAAAGAGTTCATTCAACAAATCAAGAATACATACGGGACAGATGTGTCACCGGAGTTGTTCTGGCCTGATGTTGATAAAGTACCTGAGAATTCAGTGTGTTCAGGGCTTTTTAATGCTTTCTACAAAACGATAATTTGCGGATTGGATGGCAAACAACCAGCAGTCTTCTGGACAAATGACGAACCTCGTCAGTTTCACAATGTAGTATTTCTCGGCGAGGAACTGCAAACGATGAAAGGAATCAAGGACGACTTTGTACAGATTTTGACAACGTACCTGAAGGAGTACTGTCACAGTGGCCGTATGGTGGAAGTGATAGAGCTATCAAAGAAGACGTGGCAAGCACTCGAGAGGGCAGGAGTACGTGATATGGTAGAGACGAGAACATACAATCTGAACAGGTTGTTTGATGAAGCGTTCCTGCCATATTTAGATAAAGTGCCACAGGATCTGAGAGACCGCCTCATTCTCTTTGCGCTTGAAATGGACGGTAACCTGCATCAGAAACTTCGAGATGTGAAATGCATCACCGTCTCAGGAGGAGCCGAACTAAAGACACCCTGCGCCCTCATGCATCATGATGACCCTACACTCCGTGAATTGTTTGAGCTTCAGGGAGTATTTCCAGGTGCACCATTTGATTCAGCTCATCTGATGCCGGTATTCAACCGCCTTGGTATGCGAGGACCGAATGAAGTTACTCCAGTTGAGATGGTAGAATGTGTTGATCTAGTTGAGAAAACACAGTGCCCCAAGAAGGCCAGAGCTTTATTCGATCTCCTCGGGAAGAACCCTGGTCATTTTGACCGTTCACTGGCCGACGGCAGCACTGTAAGAGATTTCATGATGAACAAACGATGTATCCCTTGTAAACAGTCTCCGCCAGAATATTACCCCCCAGATTTCGAATGGCGTGGGAACACTCCATCCTGTCTCACAACTCCCCAAGAGATTTTGATAGAAACGAAACAAGCAGTGCTAATGTCTGGAGCTTCCAAGTCTTTTATTTCTCAACAAGATGTTCTGTTTTCCACAGCATTCACTCTGCTTGGAATAACATGCCACACTCCAGTAATCTCGGACGTCATAGCACAAATAGAACATTGTGTGAAGTATGCCACATACAGAACAGAACAAGATGTAACAGACATAATACCGATGCTCAAGGAGATCTATGCATTTCTGAGGAAAGAATGGCAACGTGATTCCAACGTCAGAAACTATATATTGGATCGAGTAAAGTGTTGTGTGTGGAATGGCAACGGCTTTTCAGAACCAAGCAAAATGTGTACAGGTAATCTCCCGTTCGATCTAGCTCCTTACATGGCATCTATTCCCCAGGCTACTTGTGCGTTTAAAGATTTGTTTGAGGCGCTTGGGGTCAAAAGGAACATCGACACTAATTCGGAAGCTCTGGTTGAAATACAACATGAAATCAAGAGCAAATGTGACGTCCTAGGAGCAAATGTAACCTTCCAACAAAGACAGCGCCAACTTGTACTGCAGATCCTTCACCATCTTCATGCCACAGGAGAGCTTTCAAAAGAAGCTCGGGTACGCTTACTTGTTCCATCGCAAAGAGGAGAATGTCATCTCATTCCAGTTGATGAGAGCGCATACGTGGACAGAGAGTGGTTGAGACAAAGCACCGACAATGAGGAGATGGATGACGATGACGACTTTACTTTGATTCATTCAGATATCTCAATGAAACTTGCAATATTCCTCCACGTACGACCGTCAGTCGACTTCTCCTAGATACAGAAGAATTGAAGGGTTTCACACCAGCTGGGCAGCATGAACCCCTGACTATGCGCTTGTGGAATATTCTCAAAAACAACTATGTGGACACCGCCATCGTTAGTGAAATGATACAAAATGCGGAAGATGCAGGAGCTCAGGAAGTTCGCTTTCTCATTGATATGAGAAAAAACGAAAATGCAAACCTGAAACTATTCGATCCTGAAATGAAGTCTTGTCATGGACCAGCCCTTTGGGTATACAACGATGCCGTATTCACAGACCAAGACTTTGAAAATATTCTTCGTCTTGGAGGGCGTACCAAGGAAAAGGACGCTGAAAAGATTGGGAAGTTTGGGACCGGTTTCAACTCGGTGTACCGCCTAACTGATGTTCCAAGTTTGGTTAGTAGGAACTACATGCAGTGTTTCGACCCTCATACCACACACCTTGGAAACGTTCTCCCGAACAAGAGTCAACCTGGGGTTCGTCTCAGATTGAATAGCTCCAAACCACTCCGGAGATTCTCAGATCAGTTCAAGCCATTCAAGGGAGTGTTCGGGCTCGATTTCAGTGGAGGAAATGAGCCATTCAACTACAACGGAACACTCTTTAGACTGCCCCTCCGTTCTAAAGAAGCTGCACAGAAAAGCCAAATATGTAAGGAAAGCTACGATGGGGAGAAACTGATCAACCTGATGCAGAAAATGTGGGAATCATCACAAAACCTCCTGGTGTTCACCAAAAAGGTAAAGAAGGTTGCCCTGTTCTACCTTTCTGAGAATTCTAGCGATCCTTCGAGGGCTGACGAGTTACTCACCATACAGAAGACCGTGCGATCTCCGAGGATGAAGGACGATAGTACCGTCATTTCAACTGAATCAATCCACTGCACAATGACTGCAAAGGGAAATGAAATGATGTCACAGAAACATGAAGTTAGTGGAGACCTGGACATAGTCAAAGTGATATGCAAGACTTCAGAACAGGCAGCATCTCTCGCAAAATCTCCAGAAGGCAAAGAGTGTGGACTTTCACCTGAAGGTGCGGTTGCCTTTCCTTTTCATAGACCACCAATGTCTGAATCTGAGAAGCAGATCTACTGCTTTCTTCCCCTCTCAATTCCCAGCTTGTTCCCGGTACATATCAACGGATCTTTCGCTGTAAAAGAGGATCGGCGGAGTCTTCACATGCCAGTGCCCGATGGAAGGTTGCTATCTGAGAAATGGAATCACATACTTCTTACAGATGTGATATGCAGAGCGTACGTTGCACTCTTGTCTGACAGTGAGTTTATTCAACAAGTGAATGACACATATGGCTCAGATATTTCTCCTGAGGAGTTGTGGCCAGATATTGATGACATACCAAATAATTCAGAATGTTCGGCTCTGTTTGACGCTTTCTACAAAGCAATGGTATATGGGTTTGATGGCCGTGAATCATCATTGTTCTGGAAAGATGGCAAATCGCATCAGTTCACGAATGTTGTGTTCCTTAGTGAAGAAGTTCAGAAAGAGACATCAGTCAGTGATGTGGTAACCAAGGTACTACGCGACCATCTCCCCTCAATGGAAGTGATGTCATTGACCGAGAAAACTTGGAGAGCCATAAGAAGAGTAGAGCTGATAGATGAAGTTCTCAAGAGAACTTATGATTTCAACAGGTTCTTCGATGAAGTCTTTCTACCACACATCATTCAGATGCCGGACAACATCAGAAATCAACTGGTTTTGTTTGCACTCAATAAAAGTGAAGACACACTACAGCAGAAACTAAAAGATGTGGAATGCATACCAGTAGAGAGAGGATCTGAACTGCGGAAACCTTGTGATCTAGTACACCCGAAAGGCAAAGCTGCACCTTTGTACTCGGAGTCTAAAAAGGTTTTCCCTCTAAGAGAAAAATTCAATGGCACCAACACATTAGCGTCACTATCTAAGCTAGGAATGGTGAAAGACTATCTTCATGAAGATATTTTCGTCGAGCGATGCGAGACTGTTCACATTCTGCATTCAAGCTGTATGGAAGGAGCTCAAACGAGATGCCATGCTGTACTGAAGTATCTTTCGGAGATGTTGAGGAGTGAATGGAATGGGAAGAAAAACCTCAGAGAAAGGCTTGCGAGTATCCCATTCTTGCCTATCTTGTGTGAAGAAAACAGAGATCCAGCTCTACCATGGGTGGAAAGGGACTGTGCTTATGCATCTGCTAACGATGTGTACTCTCATTCTAAAACATATTTGGTAAGCAGCACAACACACGTTGTAGATGAATCAAAACAGTGGAAGCTTTCCTGGAAAGTAGAGCACTTTCTTGGTCTTTCAGATAAATATCCCTCTGTCCAAGACGTACTCAAGCAGTTCTCGAACTTTCGTATTCACTACGAAATGAATACTGAATGCATTTCTGATCATCAGTTACAAATGATATGCGAGGCGGTCTATGAGCGTGTTGAAATCGCATGTAAAGACAATAGTCCAGACATCTCCAACGAAGATCTTCAGAATCAATCATTCTTCCTTGTAGATCGCAAGTTTGTAGTGGCCTCTATGGTTGCCTATGGAGGTAGAGATCTTCCACCGTATCTATTTAAAGCTTCTCAGTTCCTGAAACAATATCCAAGTCTTCTGGAACGTGCAGCATTAAAGAGGGAATTTGATGCCGGAGACTATCAAGGTGTTCTCCAATCTATACACGAGGATAGCAGTGGGGAACCTTTAGATGATGGGGTCTTGGAGGTTGCCATCCTAGCTGCCGAGCGACTAGCCAGTTTCCTAAAAGATGATGATGATGGGAAACCAACTCCAGATAGATTTCTCCCAGATGAGCACAAGTGCATGAGGCCTGTATTAGATCTCTGCTACAGTGACGTTGACTGGTTTGAATACGACGAAGTCAAACTCCATAAGTGTCACATGAGAATCAGTCTTTTGCTTGCAAAGAAGTTGAAAGTGAAGGGTGTTCGACAACAGGTGCTCCGGCCATTAGATATGGATTTCCCTGGAGAAGAATTTGGCCAGCATGAGGAACTTACAAACCGTATCAAGAGAATTCTTGATTCATACCCGTCTGATGAAACAATACTAAAAGAACTTCTTCAGAATGCAGATGATGCTGGGGCAACTGAAATCCACTTTGTCTACGATAATCGCTTACATAGTGGAAATAAGCTTCTAGGAGATGACATGAAAGCTTTGCAGGGACCTGCTCTTTGTGTCTTCAACAACAAGTCTTTTACAGATGACGATATTCGTGGGATACAGAATCTTGGAGAAGGTAGCAAAGCTGATCACATAGGAAAGATAGGCCGTTATGGGGTCGGTTTCAATGCGGTGTATCAACTCACGGATTGCCCAAGTTTCATCTCCAATGGTGACCGATTATGCATGTTTGACCCTCTGCTGAAATATATTCCGGGAGCAACACCGATTAAGCCGGGCCTTCAGATAAAAGTTAATGGCAGTGTGCGTTCTTCGTTCCCAGATATCTTTCAATGTTACTTGGAAGACGTACTTGCAGATGGAGAAGAGGACTTTACTGTATTTCGTTTTCCACTGCGGGAGAAAGCTTCGACACTCAGCAAAAACGTATGGCAAGCTACAAAGATTCGGAAGCTACTACAAGATTTTGAGGATGCTGCATTAGAGAGTCTTTTGTTTCTGAAAAACATCACTAAAATCAGCATATCAGAGGTAACAAGATCAGGAGCTATTGGCTCTACTCGTACTATCACAGCAGAGATAACCGAAGTGGAAGGTGAAAAGAAAATGGATTTCCTGCGCAAAGTTCAAGATATCAGTAGAGCAGCAAAGGATGACAGTACCTGGCAACCAGAACCAGCAGGAGTCATATACCAGATGAAATTGAAAGGGACAGGAAGAGATGAGGATTGGGTGATATGTCAGCAAGTAGGAAGTGCAAACACGGTTGAAGAAAACATAATGCGAAAACATAAACTACTTCCAGTGGGAGCTGTTGCTGCCCGTCTGACAGATAAAAGAGGGGAACTCAAAGGAAGGGCTTACTGCTTCTTACCCCTTCCCATTGCAACGGGACTACCAGTTCATGTGCACGGATACTTCGCCTTAGACCATGAGAGTAGAAGACACTTGTGGGACGGTAGCAAGACAGATGAACAAACAAAGTGGAACTTTCATGTCACCCAGAAAGTTATTGCACCGGCTTATGTGAATTTGCTGTTGTGGATAAAAGAATTCTTTGTCAAGAAATATGAATGGTCACGATCGATGTCATGTGAACAGAAAGCTCACACTTTGAAACTACTTCAGAAATACCACACTTTCTTTCCTAACATCGGCGAGAAAGGGTCGTACTGGAAAGAGCTTGAAGCCACTGTATACGAAATTGTTGCCTCGAAAGCCCTGATGCTATTTCCTTCTCTATACAGAAAAGATGATGGCAACTGGGACTTTTTCCTAACATGGAAGACCCCTGTCGTGCACATGCAGTCTCCAGACGAATCAAAGGTGGGCTATTTCAACACACTGCCAAACCAAATGAGTGATCACTTCACATTCCCTACAAGTAGCTCCTCGAAGGCTGAGATGCAAGAAAATGTGAAAAGACTAAAGGAGACACTGATCGAAATCACATTTCCATTACTAGAGTCTCCGACATGGGTAATGCACAGTCTCCGTAATGCATGCAAGCATCTCAATCAGGAAACCATGAACCGTGAATCAGGCAACTATGAAGTTCTTGAAGTTTTACCTTCAAATGTGGTGTCGTTCCTTGGCGGAGACAATCCCCTTCAGAGGCAATTACCAATGCCACTTTCAAAGTCAAGGATCCAAGACGAGAAGAGACTGAAGGGACTCATTAATTACTGCAAGAAGGGAACAAAATCTAACTTCAAGGACAGTCTCCACGGACTACCATTGCTCTTCACTCAGGATGGAAACTTGAGGAGGTTATCACGTGATGAGCGAGTCTTTGCATCAGAATTCTGCGATATTTTCATTCCTCAGAGTCATAGGTTTTTACATAAAAACTTTCTAGACACTCTACCACGAAATACCAGTGTCTTTTGTGAGCTTGGTGTGAGAGCAGTATCTACACTTCTTGATGATTGCCACCCTTATCTCGAGTGTGCTTCAGATGAAATAATAACGCTCCAGAACAACCTTTCATCTGAATGGTTTGTACGTTTGTGGAGTCTTCTTGAATCCTTCTGCACAGAGACGACCAAGTGGACTGATTTTGCTCACGATATCAGAGTTGAACTTGGCCGTTGGGCGATATTACCTGTCACTGAAACAAAAACTCAGTATCATCGTGAAATTAAGCTTGTGGCACCTGTCAGTTTATCCTCTACGATAATAGTCCAACCAACCGAGTCGTATTGGCCAATCTACTCCGCACTTAAATCACTGAACGTCTACATGGTCGAAAATTCCATTCTTCACGAAGACAATTCTAGATTGATACATCATCTCGTCACCCACAAGGGCGATAGCACGAGGGTCTTAGATGCTTTGATGTACTGGGCTGATAGAGACCTCGAGAGATTTGGAAACCTCAAAGCTGATCAGCATGAAGAAATCCTGAGATTCTTCAGTAACTGTGAGAGCCAAGCTGATCTCAAGAGGCTGAAGAGCCTGCCTTGCTTCAAATCGATTGCAGGTGACTTTGTCAGTATCAGAGAATTCGACACAGTTCTTGTCCTCCCAAGCATGATTCCGAAACAGGAACAAGATAAATGGGTTAGTACCTCTCGTGCTATATTCCTACAGTACAACATATCGCTTAAATCTCTATACAAGAAGCTAGGATTGACTGATACAACGGAGATGGACGTATATGAAAAGTACATTCTGCCGGTCTTTGACCAACTCAGCGAGGGCAGTCGTCTTGAACATCTTGTGCGGATCAAACAACTACTACAACCGCTACCCATTCATAACCCAAATAAGTCCTTTAGTGGAACTAGGGAGGAAGCTAGTCAGAGATTAAGATTAAGTGACCTGCGTTTCATAACCGGTGCAAATGGGGAATTGCTGAAGGCCAAGGACTTCTATGACCCAGAAGTCAAGATATTTTCTCTAATGTGGAAGGAGGTCCAGCTTCCACCAAAGCGCGTCATGGTTTCTTTAGGCCTTCGTTTCCTTCGAGAAATAGGACTACAAGTTGTTATTACCAGAGACTTATTCCTCTCCTTTGCCCAGCAGGTGCAGCTATCACACTCTGACCTTAAGGAGATGAAAGAGAAGTCCACTGCCCTTGTGTTTGAATTGAGAAGGAGATGTGATCTTCACAAAGACTCTTCTTTCCTACAGCGAGTCGGTATGGTTGACTTTCTTGTGAGTGACGGGATCAGCACAGAGATGAAATCTATCCACCCACCCTTCATGAATAAAGGAACTCTCATGAGGTATTCTGGATCCAGTTCTTTCGAACACATACGACTGTTATGGTCCACCAACAGCGTCCTGCCACATTATACGGCTTCTGGGAAATGCTTCTCTTGTGGTATAAGTATCCATGAGAAAATGGGCGTTGCACAGGACCCTGCATTTATGAGTGTTATCCAGCATTTACGGAATATATGTAACAGACTCCAACAGAAGAATGACAAGAAGATATCTTTCCCTGAAAATCTAGCTAGTGTACTACAGGAAATATTGACATTCGTTTCCTCCAAGTGCGCCGGACAAAACTGCTCTCAGGAACACCCCTGTGGAAGGTGCTGTATCATCAGAGATGAGTTGCGAAACGTACCTATTGTCTTTTTGGAGCTCGAGGATGAGCATCGCTTAGTCAAAGCAGAACAGATATCACGTACGATGGAAGGAAATCTAGAGCCTTTTCTATACCAGCTGCCAGACAAGTGGGTTCCTTTCTTCAAGTTATTTCAAATTCTTGGTGGAACGGTGAAACCTTCCATACGCCAATATGCTTTTGTTCTTGAAAGCCTCTACGAAAGGGGACAGTGTGCATGGTCAAACCCGAATGTAGTCAACATGGTAGACAAGGCCACATGTGGCCTTTATGAAGAGTTAATGAAGACCAATCCTGCACAGATAGCTGCTGCTTTTGTTCCCGGACACTCCCTGTATCTACCTTCATGTCAGCGAAGTTTGGAACGATCAGATCGCCTTCTAGTGAATGATGTGGAACACTACACAAACCGACTTAGATCTAATCTACCACTCGTCAAGATCTTTCAAAGTCACGAACGAATCGCGCGAGAAGCTTTCGCCAGGCTTCCTGACAGGATGAAACCGAAAGCAGTAAGCGCAGAAGTGAAAGAAATGTTGAGCAAGACTGGTAACGATTCGCAAAAGTGTTTCTTGACTGGAAACGAACCATGTGAGTTTGGAAGAAGACTTCAAATCCTGCAGTCTCAGGAGTTTCTTAAGGCGGTTTGCTCCATCATGAAGCACAACAGTCAAAAAGTGGACGAGGAGACCAGGAAACGGTATAGAGATTGCCTTACTGGACTGAAGATTACATGTATGCAGCAGTTACATTCGATTCTGCAAATCAATGGCCAAGACATAGAAGGTAGTGAAACCGAAGTACCTTCCTTCATCAACAGTGATAATGAGCTGTTTGTACAACATAGTGAAGAAGAAAATAGAATGGAAACACTATTAAGTGTTGCAATCCATGTCAACCAAGTCCTTGGAAATGTGTTTGAGGATACAAATTATATGTCTATCCTGCTATCTCCAGAATCCCCAGCTAAAATCCCGAAAGCACTAGCGAAGTTCGGCATTGCCGTAGAAAACATGGAAGATGACACAAGTTTCAAGTTGCCTAATCCTGGAAGTACTATTCCAGAACAACTCTACCACCTCATAGAACACGACCCCTGGACGTCTTTTAGCACAGGCGAATATATAGGCTACGCACAAACCGATGAAGACGGTGACTACTACATATACGCAGTAGTGGATGAGAGGATATGCAATGAGTCGCTCAAGTCAGTTTATCTCATCGGCATTGGACAGGACAGCCCAATAGAAGCCAATGTGGTGGACATGCACAAGCTTCACATCCCGAAGTCCACATCAGGTATGGAGCTTGTTCCATCTGACAAAGTAAACTCAGATGATGCTGGACCATGTCTTTCTGGTCATCGGGAATCATCTCTTCCGACTGATATTGAAGAAGCAAAGCAACAGGTGACTGCAGAATTGGAGGAGATCTGGCAGCTTCCAGAGGAGCAGAAAAGGAAGGCTCTTCGCCGATTGATGTTAAAATGGCATCCAGACAAGCATCCAGAAGGTTCGAAGGAACTGTTTGACGAAGCATTTAAACATCTCCAGAGCGAGCTACAAAGACTAGGAACGGGTCTTTCAAAAACAAGTTCATCGTATGAAGACCTTTTCAAATCGGCTGAACAGAGAGCAAAGGAAGATCGACAACGGTATACTGACTTCGGAGGATTTGAATCAGGATTTTGGGCAGGAGCTGGTTTTGGTTTTGGAGGAGGAGGGGGTAGAGGGGGTTCTGGATCAGCTAACTGGAATAGCTTCTTCACTGAGGCTTCGAGATCACCAGATATCCGCAATGCACGCCGTTGGCTACGCCAGGGACAAGAAGATCTCCGTGCTGCCCAACACGATCTTAACCCACATGATGAGCCGTCACTAGAGTGGGTGGCGTACAAGTGCCACCAGAGTGTAGAAAAGGCCCTCAAAGCTGCTCAACTTGCTATCAGAGGATGTTACAGTTGTACCCATAACATTTACGGTTTAGCCTGTGACGTCAGTGAACACACGAGTGAACACGTGCGTGAACACGTAATATCATCAGAATTTCTCCATAACGTACGCCAGCTCAGTTCTCTCGTGGGTGATCAACGGCCTCGGTACCCGGATAGATGCGCCTCCTCACAGATTCCTCACGAGGTCTTTAACGACAAATCCAAAGGTGAGGAAATGATCCAGCTCGCCCGTAAAATTATTGCAGTGGTTCAAACATCATTGGTTCCGTCCAGATCATGAACACAAGGTTCGAAGTATACGTATCTAGGTATACACAAATATTGCTTTCGTTTCCACTTCTTTTACATAAACGACATACCTGCATTGTGAAACTGAAGCAAAACGTGAGTGACCATATTCTTCTAGTGACTCTTGCGAGAAGATTTGTACTTATGAAAGCGGTAACAGTATTTGTAATCGCGCTAAAATAACCAGTTTGTACGTAGCCCATGATACACCTGACCCCAAATATCCACAGATCTTTTACACATGGGGCTCTCCCACTTTGTGCACTTTAGAATTATCCCTGCCAAAGTCATGGATGTACATCTCTCAGCCCTCTTGAGAAGAATGCTTCCTCATGTGTTCCTTAGAACTGTCGGTGCATACATTGATAATGATGACATAAATTTCATGAGCACGTATCCAATATTCGTCTGACCTTCATCTGCCTTTGCGCAGATTATATTCATGAATTTGCTTATTATTATCACTTTGACTCAAAACCATACAAATAGTAAATTCGGTTGATTTATGAATTGATTACTGATGCTATCATGCCCTTTTGTTCCTCTCACTCTGGTCGCCATATTTCGTTTACTAATGTATCATTCAAACGAAGTACTTTAATTCGTATGCATTGAAGTTTGATTTACAGGGCGATTCAACCCTTGTGATAACTTCATTTGTATAAAAGAAAAATAAGAGAAACAGAAAGGCGAAAGTTTGAAATAAATGATTAGCAGTTTGGTGACAATTGTGATAATGACGTAGTTGCGGATGACTCTCCCGTTTGTCGCGTACAAAAATACCATTAATTCCTGTTTTCCTCCTTATTGCCTTCTCCCTTGGGGCACTACTCAAAAATATTATGGATAACATCTAATCAAGAATAGACCCATCTGAGTCACACATTTTTTTAATTGAAATTTTGATCATTTTGTGTTGGAACAAATGGGAAATTTATCCCACACTACATCACAAAGACATTACCGATACCTTTACCTGCTAGACAATTTGATTGACGCAGCGGATGCGTATTATAATGTCATTAAAAATAAACATTGAACGTGCAACGTAAATAGTCTTGTCATCCGTACAGAATCGACTTGTTGGAAAAGATGGAAATACTATTTCCCTCAAAATAAATTTTGTATTCTATTTTCCGACAGTCAGATGGCACTCTTTTTTAGATGGGTATTTAACTGATGTTATGTGAAATGTTTATACAGGTGTAATTAAGTATAGTGTCATTTGATATCAATGATCGTAATATCGAATATTTCGGAAATTGTTTACCATTTTAAAATATACCATATTATTGAGTTTATGTGTGATGTCAGCACAATCGTATCTATTAGGCCCTCACTGAGAAAATTCAATGATAGCTATTCAGTTTAAACGTCTATCTTCTACTGGTGTAATGGAAATTGTGGTTTCTCTTGCTTTGAATTGCGAATACAATTGTATCTATGATTAAAAGGAATATATTCATAATATTCATGATATCAAACAAAACAACAAACAAACTAAAATGTAAATATTATGTATTTTCAGCATTTTTTTAAAAATAATCAATACTGAATACCGCATCATTAAAATGAATGATAGATTACAATATGTTTTGCCAAAACTGTTATTAAGTGTACACCCTTTCTGTGATACACATTTTCTTAGTTGTTGCTCTACTGTAGAAGAAGTGTTATATTTTACAGATTTGTTGTATACATCCTAATCTTTGTGAATATATGTTTTGTAATGTTAAAAGCAATTGTAGAATATAACAATGTATGGTAGTTATGACTGTACTGTATTCTCACTGACTTATTCACATACATAAGTTGCATTGATATATGATAATGTTCTAACGACGAATGACTTTTTTATTCAAGTGTCATACGATGGAGAAATTTGTGTAAATAATGTTTTACTTTTGTACATAATCGTTTGCGAGACTTTTCCATATTATATACCTGTTATGATTGCGTCAAAATATTCTATCAACAGAATATAATGAAGCCATTGGCGCCACAATACAATGGATTGACTTAACTGTATTATCTTCAAGATTTCATATCATATCATAGTATTACAAACTATGTTGCTGTTGTTTATTGCGTCAAAATAGACAAAGAGATTTTATGGACGCGTTGATAATGATGTATGTTAGAAGGTGAATTCATATAAATATATTTCGTTATATATAAATATTACACGGTTTGTACAGAAGTGTAATATCAACTGCAGAAATAACATTGCTTGCTGCCACATTTTTAGATCACAGTTAGGATGTACAGAACATTTTGTGATATTACAACTTAATTATATACAAAGTACAATGTATATAGTTATGCAACCGGAACTATAATGTAATGTTATTGAATTTCACTGAATTTGTTCAACACGACATTTAAAGACAGCATTCTATATATTCATTCACACCAGTGTTTTCTTGTTAATACAAAAAGAGCATTTTTCCCATGAACTTGTGCTCAAGTTGATGACCGAAAATTATGTGTCGTTCATGAAATTGGCACATTCCATTTTATCTCAAATAATGTATTTCATGATTTTGTAGAATCTTGAGTGACTCTTTTGGTAATTTTACTGACAATATGATATCGCAGTTAGTATTTGTATACAGAGTATACCACTCCTGTGAGCTATTATGGGGTGTATGTTTTTTTATTTATTATCATGTGTATGTATATATTGATTATGATTTACATTACATAATGTAGTGTAACCTTTAAGAATTGAAGGGAAACGATAATTTCTCTACTGATTATATTTAAATATTGGTTTGTACTGAGCATAGGTGTATGGAGCCCCGATCTAAAAGAAATTGCAATTTGGTTCCGTTTCGAACATAATAACTTATGATCTTTAATAGTTTCCGAAGACTCCTTTGTTTTCCACGTACAGTTTTATTATATAGGACATTTATGATTGTCAAGAAATTGTATGCATTCTGTTACAAATATGATTTAACTGTTAAGAAGATTGTTATTCATAGTTTGTATTTGTGCATTTGTTTATATACTTGATTTTATAGCCTGTATGTGCAGATGAGTAAGTAGAAGAAATAGGAAAAACCAAAATATGATAAAAAATACAATGTTGGTTTGATATTACACGATTGTGTATAAATATTTTACAGTTTATTTGAGGATGTTTTTTCTTTTCTTTTTTCACTTTATTTACCACGTCAAGAAAGTCACTTAACCTGTTGTTCAGTTGGATCAAATCTTAAAGTTCAAAGTTCAAGGTCTAGTTCAAGTTAGTACAGAAGATGAGTGTTATCTTTAAGAAATTAACAGTATTCTTTTGTACATAGCCTGTATAATGTTACTGAAAATGCATTTACAGAATACTGAGAGTATTTATGCCAAACCTCTCCGAAGAAGAACCCCTTTCAATGGTTTTGTTTGCCTCTATGTATGGATTGTTTAATTGCTGCTGTTGTCACACTGACATGTTGGCCTGTATCGTTTACTGACTAGTATGTAAATATTATGATATTATGATTTTTGTGAGATTTTGAAGATTCCGTTGTTTTCTTGACTGTCGCTACACTGATCAATCTAATTACCTGGAGAATATACTATAATTCTCAATTTTCCATTTATACACTAGTTGTTACCCTTGCATACATGTTTCCAGATTTTCATACAAAACAAAGTTTCATATTTGAAACGACCACGGACATTTGCTTTTTACTTGTAAAAATGTTTATTAAATATAGTATGTCAATGATGAAAACAATTATATCATTCCAACAGAAACTGTTGTAGTTGTTTTAAAACAAATCTATGAGTGACAGTTTGTAACAAGGTTACGTTGCAGTTTGTTGTAATAATTATGTTACAAGACTTGTAAATAATTGGAATTTCACATGATATTCATTTAATTCATGTGACACCAATGCTTCACGTACAATATGTGTCAAATATCGCCAACATGAGCAACAAACAGATTGTGAAATAACTGTAATCTTATTCTGGGATTCAGATATTTTTGATGTATATTTTGAACGAGTATGGAAATATTGAGACTATAAGCCTAGTCGAAATTTGTGATGTAAAAGACGAATTTTTACGAGTTTTGTTTGTTTATTTTCGAGTTAAAAATTAAAATGGAAAGAAAAAGTCATGTACATATATATACATGTAATACTATATCGATGTTTGTATCCAAGAATTGTGCAACCTCATAGTTTTGAGAGTGATTTTGTATATTGTGTTATATATAGTTTTGTATATAGTTTTCTATAGAGTTTGTTCTTCGCCTCAAGTATGTATGACGTTCCTTGAGGCTTCCGTACAATGCTATCCAGTCTGGAATTGTTCACACATACGTTTTCTTGAGTATCATGTTTATGTATTACAGCTAGTAAGCGACTTCGGAGATACTATCTGCTACGTGGTTTTGTAGAGTTTCTTGCAATTAAATATGATTAGTAATCACGGTAATGCTCTTTCAAGCACGTGAGAGAGAAATTATTACGAACGATCATTTTCGTAATGATAACATGATTATGTATGAATTAATAATGAGGGCAGTGTACATTCTACATTTTGTGACGGCAAGGATCTGTCATTTTTGTACTATTTTTCTTAGTTCATAAGTGATACTCCGATAATGAAAGAAATATAGTGTTATGTTACAAGTTTGAATCAAAGAAAACTTTAGTGACCTTAAAAATGTTAATTGCCTACCATACGGTATTTTGTCTTTCTTTTTCTTTCAAAAAGAAACTGTGTTTTTATGTTTTAAGCAATTATGTTGTCCTTTTTATAAATTCTATCAGTCGTTTTACATGTTTCCTTCATATTGAACTAAAAGTGTCATACATAATGTCAAAGTAGAAATTCACTGCTTTCAAACCTGCAGTCATAGGTCAACGTTGAGTGTCGTTTTGAAACCAATTTTGATGAATAAAAGTTTGCTAAATGATAAAGTGCTGCTGGTGACATTGTACACTTATGGTCGGTCTTCTGTGTTTGCGAAACGATGAGGGACATATAGTTATGTTGAGAGAGAGAGAGAGAGAGAGAGAGAGGGATGAATAGAAAGAGGGGCAAGGGGAGGAGAGAAAAGAAAAAGAGAGAACGAGAGCGACAGAGATGGGATGGGGATATCGGAGGGAAGAGAGAGAGAGGGAGATTATAAGAAGTAGGCCTACGCTGTCGTCCATAAAGCGACTATTAGAGCAAGTTTCTCTTTATTTTCCCGCATTTAGAGTTTATATAATTAAGTTTCTTATCAAATGTTCATTTAATCGTTGATGATCAGAGTGTGCTTAAAGCCCCACCACTTTTGTTTTTCCTCTTAATAAGATGTAATTGTTCACAATGCGACCTCTTTCTCGCAAATGAATATTCAGACCATCACACCATACTGCAAAGTATGATGATGAAGTAGTATCTTGGACTACGTAAAGAGAGAAAAAAGTGTTGAAATAATCCCTCATAACTAATCACAACGTAGGAAAATATTCCAATGTCTAAAAATTTGTATATTTCCGCTTATAAGTTTCTCATCGCAGGTGCCCCCTTTTCCAGAATGTGCCCTATTTTTTTGGTGCCCCCCCCTCCCAATGTTTGGAAGACGCTCCGCCGCACAGTGGGCCAGGGAGGAACCAAAGTGCGCCAAAACTCATTTTGGGGGATTTATTTTGTATAAACCCAGAGGAAATGTTTGGATTTCCAGGGATTTCCGCTTAAATTATAATAATAATAACATTTTCTCTGATGTATAAGCTTTAAGTTGATACCAGATTTGGCTGCCCGATTTTGCCCGTTATTTTGTTAGAGCCGTTCTCCTTGCAACATTGCCCCGAAAAATGTATTTATTTTGGTCCGCGCTGTCAGAACAAGTGTCACGCGCCCCCACGCGCCGTGATTTATGACCGCAAATCCTTCATGATTCAGTCGCGGACCCCCCCCCCCCCCCAAAAAAAAAAAACACGTTTTTCGGGGCAATGTGGCAAGGGAAATCGGCTCTAACATAACAACGGGCAGGATCGGGCAGCCAAATTTGGTATCAACTTAAAGCTTAGGCATCAGAGAAAATGGTGGTATTACATTTTAAGCAGAACTCTGCAGAAATCTAAACATTTCCTCTGGATTTATAAAAAACATGGATAATTAGTTAATTTTTTTTTCATTGAATTACCCTATAATACATCATGAAGATTGTGTTTCTATTAATCTTAACCTATTCATGCAACGAAATGAACTATCAGGAATATGTGAGAGCAATTTCATATCAATAACTTAAAAGCTTCATGTTAAATTGAAAGATTTATAAAATAAGTCACTTTTGCACTAAAGCTGTGAATATGTAGGATTTTGCTGTTTGAAGGAGTAAATTTATACCCTTATTGTGCATACCGGAATTAAAAATTTTCTGAGGTATTCCTAAATGTATTACCTATCAACTGGGCCAAAAAAAAATTGAAGAAAATAAATCACCAAAAATGAGTTTTGGCGCACTTTGGTTACTCCCTGGCCCACTGAGCGCCGCCCCTGGCCCGGGGGCTAATTTTTTTCCCCAAACAGGTTTGCCAATGCTAATATTTCCGGTCATCTGATTGGCTGATATGTTACGTCATTAGCAATGACGTAACCGTTAGGGTGAGTGATACGGTTATAGAAATCATGCACAATCACTTTTTATCAACCCATCGTTGGCTCAATCGGTAAGGTCAGCGTAATACAATCATAGAGTTGTGGGTTGAAGTCGCAGTTTATTCAGTTTTTTTTGCCTTTATAAATAGTGAGGCAAAGCAATAACAAATCAAAGTCTCATTGTTTGTGAACTCTTTCCAAGCTGCTAATGACGTAGAACATATCAGTCATTGAGAAGAACGGAAATATAAGAAATTGCAAATCTGTTTGGGAATAAAAATTTCGCGGCCCGGGGTGTATAAAACAAATAACTATGCTCAGATAGTCTGCAGTACATAGCTACATCGATCATCACCCAAATGGATATTCCTACTTTTGTTACAGCTTTTTGTTGAATCATATTTTATGTACAGTATTTTTATATAGCTAAACAATTTTTGTTTTGTTTATTTTTGTTTTCATATGTTTTAATGATAATTCATTTATTTCAGGACTTTTTAAAAATATATTATTTTAATTTGGATTTATACACCTTCTCAAAATTCAATGAAGTAATTTGAAGAAGAAAAAGATAACAAACAAATCCATACACAATACTGAAAAATATTAACATTTTTGCAGGGATCTCTAAAAGTAAATGAGCTGGTATACTTCATTTTTCATGAATATATTCTCTAAGTTCAGTTACTAATCCGTGTTTTTCTGCATTTGCTCAAATTAATTCGATGTTGGGCTGGTCTACATCTTTAAAAGTGGGTATACTCAGATCTCCCGCACGTGCGCACATGGACATAGAGTCAATCGCGCCTGTGAAAATTGATATTTAAGAGAAGACCTTCTTTTCTTTTTGTTTGCCCACTTGCACAGACCGAGTAATTTTGCATGACATGGATATTTCTCGAGGGATCATAACATCTCTTCATGTAAAACTACGATGTATTCAAAAGTTATTATTTCAAATCATCGTCAGGGTCTTGTTGATAAGTACAAAGAGTACGGAAATGTACTGACAAATATTCCCTAAAAAAGGGTCAATTGAATTACATTATCAATGAATCGTAAGTTGGAAAGTAAATATCACCGAGAAGTGATCAGGTGGATAGACTTATTAAGTAGGTTCATGGAGAAGATATGCAAATTATATCTGCATCTAATATTGATAATGTATTTAACGACTTTTTCGGGGTAAATATTGGACCGAATTTAGCAAATGAATTGCCGAATGAAAATATGGCATATGGTGGTTATTGGGGGAGAATATATATAGAGCAATTTCTTTATTTTTGGAATTCGCAACAATAACTGCAGTTGAAGTTAGAAGTCAAGTTTTGCTACTTGATACCAAAAAAGACATGTCGTCACGATAACAGTCCAGAGCAATTGATGAAAGATAGTGCTCCTAAATTTCACATCCACTGGCATATATATTTAAATTAATTGTCAAAAGAAACTGGCAAGGTTCCAGATGAAATAAAAATTGCAAACGTTACTTTCCTACATAAAAAAGGGCCAAGAGTACATCCAGGTAACTATAGACCAATTTCATACGTTCAACCTGTTATAGGAAAAGTTTTAGAAAAATTGATAGATATCGGATTAGTTCATTTTTAGAAACAAATGATACATTACATTACAATCAATATGGATTTCGGAAGAAACATGGTACTACACTGTCATTTATTAACTTGATCAATTCAACATTGAAATACATAGATCAGGGGAAAGTAACTTTCGGTATTGTGAGGTGGTCGAGATCTCGAGATCAATGCTAGACATACAGATCCTGTGAGAGGAACAAGCAAAGAGTCACTTAGTAACCAGTAACTGACACATTACATATCACATTATCATGGAGATCAATCATACATTCCCCAAAACGTCATTTTATCAAATATAAAACGAGTAAATTTGCCCTTTAAAAACCAATTGCCACTGTACAGTACAATTTAGCTGAAACTCTCAACATTAACACAGGTAAATACCTGACCAAAATACTTAAACAAAAAAGTAACAGTCAATATAAAACTCATATAAAGCAACACATTCACACATTTGGATAAACCAACACACAAGTAGGCACATATTATAGAATGAATAATGAAACTTACAATATCATAACAATGGAACAAAGACAAAATATCTCTGCTTTAAATATCAAAATATCCCAAGACTAGAAATATTGATAAATCCTGGAAACTATAAATCTCTTTATATCTGCATCAAATACAACTTTCATCAACCACTCCAATCTAAATATTTATCTTCCATACTTTTCTTACTTTCAAACAAAAGTCTGACAATCTCCTGGCCTACCTTCACCACTGCTCTTACTCCTATTATTCCATATCAATTTTACATGTAACAATATTCTTTTAAAGCGATCTGCAAAATGAGAAATAAGGTTTACAATGACAGAGGGCGCTAGAAACCCATTAATGGCTAAATAGTCAAACAAAGTTCAATCATCACTGTTTGATGTGCCATAATTAATATCCCCTTAGCAACCAAAATGCAAACAACATGCGTTTCTTTCTATGTTCCCTATATTTCTCACTGACCTTGTTTCTGAACCAAGAACTAACTCATCACATAAATTAGAGCGTAACTCTGGCCCTGGCCCTGGGGCCAGGTACAACATTAGCGCGCACGCACTACACCCAATTTTGCTACCGCGTTCAATTGATTAGTGTACATGACCATGTACTACAATATAAATGAATGTAGGCCCTATAACAAATCAAAACGTTAAGCATCGCACATTTTAACATTAAATCCCCGCTTCCACTACAATCATATCAACCCACATGATACAGCAAAATAATCACTGAAATCGTTCTGACACAATACTTAATTTACATAACAAACATTTAGCATAACATTATATTAATATTTAATAAACATAAAAGTGGTTTAAACTTCAAGTTTAGTCAACTCACCTGTGAGAGGTACAGTACAAGCAAAGAGTGCGTGCCGGCTTGTCTCCGCACTCCGCCCTCTACAGGTTAAAGACAGGGTAATTTCCTCACCCCTTACAGTATCTTCATCGATTTTAAGAAAGCATTTGATACAACTAATCATAATATATCACTAGGTAAACTATCGAACTATGGCATTCGAGGGTAACCTCTTGAATGGTTAACAGACTTAGTAACCGATTTCAGTTTATTCAATGTGGTCAAACATTATTTCAAAGGATCAGTATTAGGGCCAACTCTGTTTTAGATCTATAAAAATGATCCTCTATCAGTTACTGTTTATTTCAACTTTCGGCTGTTTTTCATTCTTTCATTCTTTTCATTCTTTCCCAGCTGACCAGGGCGAAATTGATGTAAATGAAGTGAAAAAACAGCAGGAGATACAACTTTAATGCCAGGGGCGGATCCAGGAATTTCTTACCGGTGGGGGGGGGGGGGGGGGGGGCACACGAGGGGGGTAAGAGAACATACATATTTTTTTGTTTTAGTCCCCCAAAATCGCAACGACTCAGCCAGCCGCTGAATAAACGGGGGGGGGGGGGGGGGGGGGGGGGGGGTAAGAGGACACTTGGTCACGAATTTGTAAATTTGACATTTTGTTCCGTTTGGCGGGGGTAAGGTCACCTTTTTAGGTCAGCCATTGGTATATATATATCTTTTTGTTAAATAACTTTTTATATATTTTTTTAAAAATAACAATTTTTATTTAATTTTTTGGGCCGGGGGGCACGTCCCTTTTTTTCAGTACATTTTTGGCGAATTTAGGGCTGATTTTAACTTTTTTGGGGGGGGGGCCGGGGAGGCACGTGCCCCTGCCCCTGTGTCCCCCCCTCCGTCCCTGAATGCATTATTAAACAAACCTACAAGTAATTCATTAAAAACAGACTTCATTTTGATAAGAAGTACATGTAGAAATTTAAAAAAAAATAGGTATCAATGGTAAACTAAAAGATTGCTGGCAAGGAAATTAAAGAGGTTGATGTTGCCTCTTTTGTTGGTTAACATTGATAAAAATCTGCCTTGGACTAGTCATATTCTTTTTTGTAAATCAATGAAATAGAAAGTATTAGTTGGAGTGTTATTTAGATTACTTTGATATATTGAGTACTTTGATATATGATATAAAACATTTATGCAACCACACATTTCTTACGGAATAGAGGTGTGGGGATGCACTTCTAAGACTAGTCTAAGAACTTAAGAAGCATATTGTATTCACCAGGGGCGGATCAAGCCGGCAGCAGAGGGAGGGGGGGGGGGCGGGGGGGGGGGGTGGGTAGTGAGATATATATATATATTTTTTGCTCCCGAAAGTTTGAAATCGCGCCGGCCGATAATTCGCTCAGTGGGGGGGGGGGGGGGGGGGGGAGGGGGGAGTTCGTGCTATAACATTTAGTGAATGGAATTTAAAAGATTGCTATTCCCAAATGTGTATAATTTTCATGGTTTATTAATTTCTACCTTCATGTTTGATCTAGTTAATAACAATTTGCCTCATATTTTAATAGAGGGGGGGGGGGAGTATTTTTTTTTGTTGGCCCTCGAAAATTCAAAAAATCGCCCCTGCTTAACCAAAGCTGGCATACTCCCAATACAAAAAAAATATGTAACCTCACAAATTTGTACATGTAAGCCCTAGGTTTAATTTGATAACCTTCTTTACTATAATTCCTTGCATGTCAGCTTAGAAATAGGCTTAAGTGAGCCACGTACGAAAGGCCCCCCCCCTCCCCCCTTTAACCTCTCCTCACGACAGTAGGCATGCCACAGCCTCTAGTTTCAATTACACTGTATCTTTATTGAGACTATTTCCAATATTGTCACGGATTAGTCATATTTTGTTCGTCCATGCAGCTACCTGGAACGACTGAATCCAGTTTTTTGATCAAAATTGTGATTCACATTCGCTATATACATAAAGCCAGTCCACCAACCTCCATCTTCCATCCTCGAACAATCCTCTCACTAGCAAACAAGTTCGGTGAACTATTTATATATTTTAATAGATTGAAACATACTTTAACATGAAATATTAACAAAGATCAAAATGAACGGAGGTAGATATAATCAAAGTATTGAACTCAACCATGCTCACAATCAAATACATGTAGACCCCATATAATCAGCTTTGAAGTCAAAGTAAAAAACAATCATGACAATACAAATAGCGAAGCACAGCACATGAACGATTTAACCTTTTATTATAAAAGACAGAGATATGCTGAAATGATTTGCATCATGCTTTTTGTTATAAAAGTAACAAGGATAATTGATATAAAGTAAAGGAAGAGGAAGAGACATGCGCACTGTACTTTCAGTAGTAGGTGTGCCAAGTCCTTATGTAGGTAGGCCGAATAATTTTGCAAACATGTTGTTTTCTTGTTCTTTGAAAAACTTTGGGGAATTTCGGTAAAGGCACTTTTTACATCAAAAAGTTAAACGCTTCCCATTCCCCGCGCTACCAACTACCATTAACTTATACCTCAATCGCATGATCTAGAAATTATATGCACCGTATAGTCCATCCGGGCCTGATTCGCATCTATTTGCCCTATACCAGACAGGTCCTCGGAAAATCTGGTCGATTAGGGAAGGGGGCACAAGCCCAAGAAAGGGCTCCCTTTGCTTGTCAACCACATCTGTCAGTTTTGTGTGAGCTTTAGCGATGAAAGGCTTTGGGGGGGGGGGGAGGGGTGATTGGGAGGGGGAAGCGAGTAATATATTATAACAAGGATATAACATATAGGAGTTTTGCTGGCTGGACTATTCTTTAATCTAAACAAAAAAGTGAGGAAGAAAATACAAATGAATACCACAAAATAAATCATGTTGATCTACAGGCCTTTGAAAAGCCGGGGGGTGGGGGGGGGGGGGGTAAGTGAAGGGGAATGCAGGGTGCACGGCTGAAATTACACAACCCTCCAACCTTGCTCCAGCACACTTCACTTCCCACGCTTTAAACACAGGCCGACAGTTGTTTACCACCCCCTCCCCCTCGTTGTGCGTAAGGGAGTCTGAAATATGAGAATACAAGTACGCTAAGACTTTAGCCGCTCCTGACACCGCCACAAACTGACAGATCTAGGCTCTGCCCAAGGCTTTAGGTATTGTATATTATGTTTGTCATACTGTTCGGGAAAGTATATTGAATATTTATCATCACAAGAATAATCAAACTGTCTTACGCTAACGCGACCTTGATCAGATTTCTTTCGATTATATACATTTTAATCGAATGAAGTTTTAAATATGAAATGGGACCGGGGCTGTCTCTATATATGCATGCATGCACTACATGTTATTGCATTTATCTGCGCATGTGCTATGCCTTATCCGGCGAACTCTGACATTCAATTCGGTGATCTAGTCTTACGTGGACGTTTTAAGAGATTCCCGAGACCCCCAATACGAAAAGACGGGACGATATCACAGCCCGCGCATCACCGTTATGTAGTCATTTAGTATCTTGTAATGACTCGATGGGGTCTTCAAAGTAATGCTTTTCATTTCATGGTCATGATTGCCACCTGCATCGCGCTTCATGTTTGCCCAACGTAGAATAAAACAAAGCTTCCTGTTGGAGTGTTTGGCCGTGAAGTTGGTAAAGATGAACCAGTTTGATCGATAAATGTGCAATATTCTTCACTAGCGTTCATTTCTTCAAACAAAATGGTAAGCCTTATTTTACTTTCAATAATTTATGAGACTGTAATATCCTTTTTTGATTGTAAGGTACATGCGACTATTGTCCCGGGCGCCACTTGCTGCCAGTGCTACAACTAAGTGCTGTTTTTAACTTTTGTAAATAATAATTGCAATTAACACTTAATTGACTTAACACCTAATTGACTCTCAAAAGCACTCCTACATGACATGTGGACTAACCGTAAGTACGTTATGGAGAGTTCCTGGGTTCTTACTGTCTCAATTTTTTTTTCTCACACATAGGCCTTTATTACAATTTAAAAAAAAGTTTCGTGTAAATATTCCAACTGTCGATGAAGAAATGAAGTAATATATAAAATGCTCCACTACTCGGCAACTAATTTCGATTCGGTTTGTTTTGTCGGACCGGGTAGCCTAACATTTGATTGTAGATTGGAAAACATTGCAATTAATCAAAAAACTACATAGAGTTTTATCAAATGCGTTAGAAAGAGCAGAATGAGATCTACGAGATGATACCAGTATCTATCTCTGTACCCATCCCCTCTCCCCGAAAAAAAAGAATTAATGCCCTTCTGGCTCTAAACAGACGACTTTATTTAATGTGACCGTGAACATATAACCATGTACATTTAGCAATACAATGAACTTCCTGATCAGAAACGAAGCAATACAGAGCGTATCAACAAAATGTTTGCCAATTTTGGTAGCTTCTAATTAAAAAGTTATAACCTGTGTCACCTTAAATTTATTGTAAAGAAGAACTAATCCCTTGTCTAATTATACCATTTTCATAATTGGGCTGCCAAGAGTGACCGGACAGCAGGCTTTTCCAAAAGTATTGTCAAAATCCTCTTGTACCAAATTTGGGCTGAAGCAATGATTGTGGGTCAAAATCCATTATGTGTGTGTGTTATCTCATTCCAAAACAAATGCTCCTTTATCTACATTGACTATTACGCAGTGGCAAAAAAAAGTGTTATCATCAACTCAAACTCAACGAAATGCTTATTACAAGCAAAATTTATAAAATTGTCTTCGTTATGATGATTACAATCTTGCCTTCATTCGCATCCCTTGTTTAAGGTAAGCTTCTCATTGAGTGATACAAAATGGATATCAGTTTATCAGGGATGTTACCTTTTTGAAAATAAAAGTCTGTTGTCAATTTCTTTGATATTATCATCATAAATCTTTCTTGCATTTGGGTTCAGTAACCTTTGAGTTTTCGAACGCTATTCGAGATAAACACCTTATGCTCCTTACGCGTGTGAAATGCCGCAGTGGACAGGTGATCAGTGAGAACTTAGATATCATGAGACGAGAAATTATTATATAGGCTGTTTAAAATAATTAAAGGTTCTCCTGTCGATTCCAACAAGGTTCTGTGAAAACCTAGTTACATTGCCTCATTTTTAAACAATGAAGCACAAAGCACAATTTAACTTTTAAAATGATTTAGGACCAAAGAAGCGCATGCATATGGCCTGACCAATATTGCCTAGACCCTGGTGCTCATTCACCCGTGGCAGAAATTATTATGAATAGGGTATCATTGGACAGAAAATTAGTTACTCTTCATCAAGAAAGCAATTTCAAAGTCATATCGGTTATGACTTTTCAATTAGGAGCTACCAAATTTGGGTAAACTTTTTTATTGAAACGCCCTGTATAATCGCAAGTGACTCATTCTGATACATGGGCATGTATTTCGCAATGCCATAATTCTCACGCGATGACAATGTGAACGGTTGCGCAATCACATGCCGTCATGTTATTCAGGAAATTGACAATTATAAAAACATGTGCATATGCAGTATCATTATCACACTGGCAGATTGGGGGAGCACAACCGGTCTATGCCCCTAATAATAACGGTGCCTTCTTCAATTCTCCTTTTTTCTCTTCATTTTCAATTAATTTTTTTCCAATAAAAACATAATATTTACATAATGAATACTAACAAAAATATACATTGGAAGGACCACTAAGAAAGCAACACTTACTAGGAGGGGCCCTGTACAAATAATTATATAGAAAGAAATGAGCATATTTTTCATTACGAAATAACATATTTGCTACTGCTACTTGGGTCCTGTCTTATAAGGAGTTAATATCCTTCGCAACTCTTTATAAGACGGGTCTACAACGTCTCTTCCACCTTCACTTCATTGTGGTGTCTGGTCATTTAGCAGCTTGTCGTAGGCATTTGTGAAGGAGATCTCATTTGAAATGTTCTAATGTATTTCTCTCTTCCACTTTTCACAAGGGCTTGAAGAATCATTGGTGCTTGCAAGAGTGTGTGGAGTTTGTAACCTATAGTATCTCCTCTAAAGAATTTTAGGAACGTAATTATTTTTAACAGTAATTTTCTTATATTCTACACAAATTTATTTAGATCAATAATTTTAAAGCAATAATTCCGGAGATCTTTAAATTCGACGTCAGATCGGAACGAGCCACAACTGAAAACAATATTATAAAACAAGGATTAGTAAATTCGCGCACGAGAGTTTACCGCTGATTTATTCAAACAACGATTGACAATGGTATGAATTGCAAGTCAGAATATCATTGAATCTAGACGAGAAGTTGGCATGTGATGAGATCGGTATTACTGATAAAACACCAGTCAAAGGTTCAAACTACCAACCAGTGTTTTCAGTGTTTTCCATCGGGGTAGTGCGGGAAAGTGTTTCAGGCGTATCAGGACAATTACCCTCTGGACAATCACCCCCGGAAAATTACCTTACATTAGCCCACTTAAACATGGTTTTGCGTTTTTACATTTGTGGATATAAATATATCTTGTAAACAGCAGCAAATGATTTAATAAGATAATATTGGGCCCTTTCCAATCTTTAATGAATCCAACATCATTCTCTTCCTACTGAGATCTTCAAACTTAACGTTAAATTTCTTGCCAATCTTATCAACAAATTCCTGTCTAAGCTTAGTAGCAACATCACAGTCATAAAATATATGAACAGGGGTTTCTAAAGTTGAATTACAAAAGGTACAATTCACTGACTCAACTAATTTCATCTTGTACAATCTGTTATTAGTATAAAGTATGTTATGTGACAGTTTGAATGGGAAAACTCTCATTTGTACTTCAATTGTGCACTTGAAAGGTATCGTTCTCTTGAATATCAAGAAGAAAAAAAAATTGTTCACAAACTGGTCTTGCTATTACTTCAGAAAGAAAACCCTTGTACACTATTTTCGCCTTGAGTTTATAATAGTTCAGTTATCGAGAACTCTAATTGTGAGTACTCTTCGCTTTCTCTATTCAAAAACATTTGATATATTAAGGGATCAAATTCACATTTCCACTCTTTTTTCACAAAGTTCACTATTGCCATGTATTGTACAAAATATTTGTTTGAAACACCTTTTTCATTCCAAAAATCAAAATGGAGAATTTCTCCATTGTTATCAAACAATTGGTATATGTTACAAAGCCCTGCCTCATGTAAAGCCTTGCAGTATACTGACTTTTTATCAACCAGAATGAACTAATTATTCCAAACACACTGCTTCAGCATACTGACCTGACTTCTATTGTTAGTGGCCAATTCACAATGAATATCTGTTTTTAACCATGTTTTTAATAAAGCAACATAAAATGGAGGGATATCCTCAATTTTTGGTAGTTTCTCAATTGCATAATTACCGACAAAAATAGATTTACCACCATATAACCTGAAGAAATTCTCAAAGGGAATAGTCCAGCTGTGATCTGATTTGTGAAAATATCGTTAAACCAATTTTACCTGCTGAGTATTTATCATACATTGGATATTTGGGGAATTTCAGTCCCCCTTCTGAGTAATCAGCAAACATAGTTGCTCTTGATATTTTGTCCGGGCCACTCCACATAAATGAAGACATGAGCTTTTCAATATCTTTGACGAATTCAGTGGGCAATGAAATGTTAGGCAAGAGATAATTTACTTTGGACATTGTTTACTTTGTTTTGCCAATCAATGTTAGTCCTCTGTTTTTCCATTTAGCAAGTATATTTTTTCATTTGTTTAATTCGAGTTTCAAAGTTTATTTTCCTCGCTTCGATCTTCAGAGTCATATGAGAAATATATGCCAAAAACTGTTATTCCTTTCTCTGGCCATGTATAAACACTTTCTTTTTCACCTTGATGCCTATTTTTACCAATCCACATGCCTTCAGTTTTAGATTTATTTATACAAAGACCAGACATTTTTGAAAATTCCTCAAACTCTGAAAATACATTTTGTAGGGACTCATTACTTTTGCAAAAACATGTTATGTGATCTGCATAACTGTTTTTTTTGTTTTTTTAATTTCCTTCTGCAAAATGCATATGCAATACATTTCATTTGATACATTCAATTCATTCGTTCACTCCGCTATCCCGACATAATACATGCTGTAGGCATCACTTTGGCGCAACTCGATTTTTTGCACTTTTGCAAACAATGCCTCCTGTTCATCCAAGCGTGAACACATACCACACAAAAATGATACCAAATGATTTGGGATAAAACACTCTTTCATGAGATGTATAATAATTTACTGTTCATAGATGATTTTTTAATAATCAGCAATTTTTAAGGCGTAAACTTTTTGTTGACTCACACGGTATTGCCATTATTTCTTACTCTATTCAAATATACTTCCAATCTCAACATGAATAACAGGGGGTGCAAGAGGATCACCCTGTCTTACTCCTCTGCTAACCCTGAAGTAACCTGTAGTAACACCCATTTACCAGAACACAGCTACTAATATCTTTATATAGAATTTTAACCCACTGAATTAGTGAGGGCCCAAAGTTATAGGCTTCCAAATATTGGAAAATAAATGAATGGCTCAATGAGTCAAATGCCTTGGTGAGATCCAATGCTATTATTATACCTTGTAAATCCTCTTTTTCTGCATAAAACATGAGGTCTGATATTAATCGAATCCCTTCACAAATATATCTCCATTTAACAAAAACAGTCTGTTGACTGTTGATCAAATT